CAATATTTCTCCTCAAATCTCTGGACCTAAAGCTACGAGGCCAAACAAGGTGAGCAAGGATTACTAACCACTCGTATGAGGCAATGAGAAAACTTGGACTTGCCAAATGTCATTCTTGAGAAAAATTACCTACCAACTTCTGCAACATGTTTGCAACAGTATCTCAGTAGCCAATCATATAATTTTGATAAAACTGGTTTAATTTTAAAGTAAATTTACTGAGCTTTAAGGTGGTATGGCGAGTTCAACAGTTTTCTCGAGAGCCAAATCACTGTGCTCGAGCATAACCGCAGGGTTAAACATCCCTGTGTATTCTCAATGGGAAAAGGCAGGGTGAAAGTGACAAATTCAACACTAACTCGCATGTACAGTGGAACCTCAAATATCGAACTTAATCTGTTCCAGGAGTTAGTTCTAAATTCGAAAAGTCTGAAAAGCGAAGCAATATTTCCCATAAGAAATAATGGAAATACAATTAATCTGTTCCAGAAACCCAAAAAAATTTTCACAAAAAAAAAAAAAAAAAAAAAAATATTTTTATATATATATATATATATATATATTAAACATTTTGTAGAGTTTAATTATAGTTTTACTACACAAAACAAATAGGGTCATTAAGTATTAAAATTTAAATAACTTAAATAACTTTTTACTTCCCTTTTTACTGAAGATTGGTGTGGCATCTGGAAGATAGGGAGGATGAAGTTTTGAGACACTTATGCAGCTATAGGAATCTTTATTCACAGATAGGGAGGAGAGAGAGGGAGTTGGGGTGATTTGTTTGGAAGGAGTCCCCTCCATGAGGACTTCAGTATCAAAGCCTCTCTGGGTTACTTCCCTTCCCTGTCTTTTAATCCCAAACAGGACCAGCTTGAGAGTACTGGACCCCTTTTCACAAATTTAACTGTCCACAGTCCTGTTCCCCTGGGCCACTAAGATTTCCCTAAAAGGGACATGGTTCGTCACGAACTTTGCAAAAAAGCTTGTTCCCAGCTTGCTCGGTGGTACTTCCCACAAACATTGGCATCTTCCCTGGGCATCATTCCACTCGTATATTCCCTTCTTCACATCTAGGTGTTCCCCTTTCTTTACCACAGTTCCACAGTAATTCATTCTCCCATTGTAGCTTATTCACAGCCCCCCAAGCACTAAACACAATGAAAAAATAGTAAAATGTTTGAATGAGATCACAGGTTAGTGTTCACTCAAGCATCAACAAAACCAGACTGGCTCACAGCGCCTGCATAGGGACATGGAGCGGGCTGCCAAACAGGTCTGGTACCCGGCGGTTCGAAAATAAGGGCGGGTTCGATAATAGGGACAAAGTTGGTTTGAAAAAAAGGGTTCTATTTTTGAAGAGTTCGATAAACAATACGTTTGAAATTTGGGTTCCAATGATATTGAAAGAATGTGAAACAGTTGGTTTTATTTAAAAAGCAAATTTCGCTTGCTGGCAAGTTTTGGTTTTCCCTTTTCAGCACCTCATAATTAAAGGCTACTGTCAAACACTGTCAGTTGTACATATAGGCATAGACTGATTAATGAATCTCAACACTGCTTTACAAAGGAGCATTCCTGTCTTACGAATTTACTAACTTTTTTCACTAAGGTGTTTGAGGAGGTAGATCATGGTAATGAATATGATAGTGTGTAAGTAAGAAAGTAAGACTTTCAATAGAGTTCCACATCAGAGGCTATTGAGGAAACTTAAGGCACGTGGAACAGGAGAAAGTTTTTCCTGGGTAGAGGCATGGCTGACAAATAGGCAGCAGTGTTTGCATAAATGGGGAGAAATCAGAATGGGGGCATGTCACAAGTGGTGTTCCGCAGGGTTCAGTGTTGGGCCCTTCGTTGTTCACAATTTACATAAACGACATGGATGAAGGAATAAATAGTGACATAAGCAAATTTGCTGATGACACCAAAACAGGGCTTCCAATTCATTCTAATGAAGACACTAGAGCACTCCAGGATGATTTGAATAGACTGATGCAATGATCAGAGAAGTGGAAGATGTAGTTTAATATAGACAAATGCAAAGTTCTAAATGTTGGACAGGAAAATAACTGTGCCACATATAAACTAAATAATGTAGATCTTAATACTACTGATTGCAAAAAGGATTTAGGAGCTCTGGTTAGCAGTAATCTAAAACCAAGACAATAGTGAATTAGTGTTTGCAATAAAGCTAACAGAATCCTTGGCTTCATATCTAAAAGTATAAATAATAGAAGTCCTCAGGTTGTTCTTCAACTCTATATACCCTTGGTTAGGCCTCATTTGGATTATGCTGCACAGTTCTGGTCACTGTATTACAGAATGGATATAAATGCACTGGAAAATGTACAGAGGAGGATGACAAAGTTGATCCCATGTATCAGAAATCTTCCCTATGAGGATAGACTGAAGGCCCTGAATCTGCACTCTCTCGAAAGGCGTAGAATTAGGGGGGGATATGATCGAGGTGTATAAATGGAAAACAGGAATAAATAAAGGGGATGTAAATAGCGTGCTGAAAATTTCCAGCCAAGACAGGACTTGCAGCAATGGTTTCAAGTTGGAAAAATTCAGATTCAGGAAGGATATGGGAAAGCACTGGTTTGGTAATCAAGTTGTGGATGAGTGGAACAAACTCCCAAGCACAGTTATAGAGGCTAAACCGTTTAACTCACACCCACCCACACGAGTGGGTGTGGGTGGGTGCGAGTTGGACCTGACTAACTTGTGCTACTAGGTTTGATGTCGTGCTCTTTCCTTAAGTGGAAGTGACCTGACTTGGTGGGTCATTGGGCTAATCTGGGGAGGGAGGGGGGGGGGGGGAAATGGACTTGCTCTGCATGGGTCAGTAGGCCTGTTGCAGTGTTCCTTCTTTCTTATGTTCTTATGTACATGTACCATGAAAGTTTCTTGGGATTTCGAGTACATGTATATGAATATAATTTCCTCCCTTTGATGGTTTTAAAGTATGTATCCTCTGATGTATACTAATTACATAAACCCCAGTAGGTAAAGCACTGCCCTGCTCTTTCGATGTTACATAGTCTTGCAATTCATGGGGAAGGCCTATGAACGACAAACTTGTGAACTAAAAACCTGTGAATTGAGAGTATTGATTCGGTGACTAAATCAGTACATAACCCACCACCAGACTGCAAACAAGTGATACACTACCAGACCATAGATTCAAGAAGGGCCAACAATGAACCTCACATTTTACCTCCATCCACCCCACAAATGTATTGCCTGCAGAACAGCCCCATGGACAAGCACAACTATTATAATCAGATGTGATTATCATATCTCCTATACAGTACTATCCTTGCCCAAACTATCTGAAAATAATTAGAGGTAACCAGATTGTAGCTAGTTCTCAGCAGTCTTAATGTTGTACAAACCATAAAAACTATTTGCATTTCCCCTGTACACTGTACTTTTTCCAAACCTCCAGCATGAAAACACTCATAGTGCAGGCTTTGAGCCAACAACCGTGCCGTAACATTTGGGGTCACAACACTAACTGCTCTCGTGCTGAGGATGCTCATGAAGATCTGGCCCTCAACCTGATACCATTTGAGTGGGTTTTTGTTTTAGCTGAAATGAATCATACCTTTGAAAGGAGTTACATGGTCTACATAGTACACTAATGGACACATTTTAATCATAGGTAAGCAATAATGCAAAAACAAATAATGTAGTTCTTGCAGCAACTATCTGACAGTTTCCACCAGACAGTTTCTAATCAGCTATGATGTACTTCTTACAATGGACTGTGTGCTGCTAGTACTACTGGCCTGAACAAGCAAGCAACCATGAGGCCTTGTCCAGGCTGTGGAGACCACCCTGGAAGGACATTATTTAAACCTTCAATCCTGAGGCATCATACTGCCAAGAGTCATGTTAGCTTCTGCTGATTTTAATCAGCAAAAGTATTTCCAAAAGCAAAACAGTATTGCATTATACTGTACAAGTGCTTTTATAAAAAAAAAAAATTTGATTAGGATAAATGACCGGGAATAAAGAATGACTGGTGAAATGGTTAGGTAAAAAAAAAAAAAAAATAGTAAAAGTTAGCAATGTAAAAATGGCAGGTATACATATGGAAAAAAAGAGGGTAAAAATAGTGAGCAAGTGCAAAAGGAAAGCAAATGAGATAATGGGTAAATGTACCAAAATATGTTGCTGTAAGAGACTGCTTAGATTAATAAGTTGAGAAAGCCTGGGAAACAAATGGACCTGGAAATTAAGAATGAAAAAGGCAAGATATAAAACAGAGAAGTAGAGGTATTGGAAGGATGGGGATTATATTTTGAGCTGTTAAATGTTGTTGATGCAAGGGAAGCATTTATTTCATGAATGGAGCAGAAAGGGATTGAATCCATGAATAGAGAAGAGCTAGAATGAATGAGGAAGAGTGATTCAGGGGGCAAGATGACAGGAGGTACAGCAGGTGGATATTTTTGGTATGACTGTTGCATTTCTTTACTATGTGCATGAAAGAAGGGATGGCAAGGATAGCAAAAGTATGCTTAGGTTCCTTAAATAAGGAAAGAGGGGAACAGGAGTAAAAATTGAGAAAAAAATCTCTTGAACATAGTGGGTAACACATACAATAGAATTATTACTGAAAAAGTTAGAAAACACAGTAGGGATGACGAGGAACAAAAATGATGGACAAGGTGAATCACAGAAGGAAAGATAGTGTTGAGGCATCTGAGGAAAAAAGTTCATTAATGTGAAGAAGGCTCTTAGAATGTTGCAGCAAAAAAAGAAGCTGGAGGAAGTGAACACGAGTTTCACATCACTGTGCAGCATGAATATTATGAAGCAAATAAAGAGACCATTAATTAAAAGACAGTGGTGATATGAAAGGTACAATTCAGAAAGATGAGCGAGGATGATGCAATATCCCCACATTACCTTCAAGACAGGTACTGAATAAGTGTCCCTTGCATGGACACTTAATATGAAATTAAATGACAAACTGAAAAAGAACTTACTTCGGCGGCCAACAAAGCCAGTCACCTCTGCTTGAGGAACTTTTGCCTTTATCATCCTGGCTAGTTCCTCATAGCGGGGGGCGTACCCTCATCCACCGCTGTAAAGAAAAGCAAAATTAATTGCTAGCAGTAGTGGTAGTAGCAGCAGTAGTATTAACAGCAATAATAATAATAATGTATACTGTAAATCCTAATGAAAATTAATGAAAATAAAAACAATGATAATACAAGTATAAGATAAGATAAGATTTCATTCGGATTTTTAACCCCGGAGGGTTAGCCACCCAGGATAACCCAAGAAAGTCAGTGCGTCATCGAGGACTGTCTAACTTATTTCCATTGGGGTCCTTAATCTTGTCCCCCAGGATGCGACCCACACCAGTCGACTAACACCCAGGTACCTATTTGCTGCCAGGTGAACAGGACAACAGGTGTAAGGAAACGTGTCGAAATGTTTCCACCCGCCGGGAATCGAACCCGGGCCCTCCGTGTGTGAAGCGGGAGCTTTAGCCACCAGGCCACCGGGCCACCCCACCAGGCATGTTAGGTAGGAATGAGTGGAGGCAAGTGGTGTTCATGACTTGATGTGCTGTTGGAGTGTGAGCAAGGTAATATATAAGGATTCATGGAAAACAGTAAGCTGGACGTAAGTCCTGGAGGTGAGAAGTGCAATGTCTGCATTCAGGAGGGGTGGAGATACTGCAGTTTCAGAGGTGCATCCGAGCTGTTGAATTTGCATGCCTCTGGCAAAACACTGAGGGGAAGAAGTATAATGGTGAAAGTGTTTATTCCTTTTCAGGTCACCCTACCTTGGTGGGAGAAGGTCCGAGTGTTAAAAAATAAACTATTGCAGTATAGAGTACCATTCAAGTTGTGATGTTCACACATTTTTGGCACAAGAGCACATGAATGTTTCCTACTTTGGTCATTTTACCTTGATCTGGAACAGCTGGAATAAAATTATTTATGCTACTGTGAATCTACGAAAATACTGCGGAATTTGAATAAAATCTACAGTGAAGCTCATGGTATACACTGAACTTCTTACATAAATAATACAGAATTACTTTGATTACACAGCACCTATGGGGGAGGGGATAGAAGGCATTAAGATACATCTTTATTTCTTTGTAAAGGTTATAAAGTGTAATTACAATTTTGCTGTCCGAAATGCCTCGGCATAATAGTGCCTTTCTTTGCACTTAGCAAATTATTATTATTATAATCAAAAAGAAGCGCTAAGCCACAAGGGGTATACAGCTGCACTTAGCAAAACAATATTGTAATTACACATTGTAAACTGCAAAGAAATAAAAATTTGATTTTGAAAAAGAAAGCCACTCATGCAGGAAACCGAAGCACAGATCCAATTCCCCAGATCAAGAGCCCCTCACCAGCATCAAGGAACCTCCCTTGAAGGAGCTAAACCCATAGGGGTTATACAGACGTCCGTCTGAAGATTAATGGGTGAAGGATCGAGCCTACAGTCTCACTCCTTGCCAAGAATGGCCCACACGGACTTTCACATTTATCTGAAAATATTATTATCTAGGTGCTAAACCCGTATGAGTAATCAGCACCTAGGTACTGGGAGATTATCTGGTGTATTCCAAAGGAAAAGGTAAGTTTAATTCCTTGGATGGATCAACCCTTGAAGCCCTTGAAGGACAGAACAATATAAAAGTTGCCATCTAGGTATTATTCTTGAAGAAACTAACTTAAATATAGCATTACTACACTACTTTCTCTATGGTGTTCTCCTAACATTATTGCTGGAGTATCAGGAATAGTTGTTTAAACAAAAATGATCTCTAGCAACTTCTATTAAGCTTACCAATACTCTACGACTACTTTCACCATGATGACCTCGAGTGTAGAGGTCTAAACGAGGGAAAGTAACAGAAGGATGTTAATACGTCTACCCTCGTTGGTGTCTGTGATCACACTAACAGTGTTGTGGTCCAGGACACTGGGCACAGCAGCGTTGCCAACACCTTACAAAAATAAAAAGTAGCGCAAGTGGCACCTAAAAGTAGCAAAACTACTGAACAAGTAACCCAAAATAAATGAATAATTAAAGGGTTGTTAAGAGCTTTAGACTCTTAACGATTTCTAAGTTTAGCTTTCATTGACGTAACTCTTGAAAAAAATCAAACTAGGACGTTATTCATTGGTAGACAGTGTATTTTCCCTGCAAATTCTGTAAGGACTCGAAGCATGTGAGATCTCCTGCAGCATTTCCCCTCAAGGAAGGTTCCTTGATGCTGGTGTGGGGCTCTTGATCTAGGGAATTGGATCTGTGTTCCAGTTCCCTGAATTAAGCCTGAATACCTTCCATATCCCCCCCCCCACAGGCGCTACTAGTGCACTCGGCTCACACGCTGAGGTCCGGGGGTCGATCCCCAGTACAGGTGGAGACACTAGGACGTGTTTCCATGTTCATCCATCAGTGAAATAGGTACCTGGATGTTAGTTGACTGTTGCGGGTCGCATCCTGGGACAAAATTGACCTAATTTGCCCGAAATGCTCTGCATATCGACTAGGCCTCTATACCTTATACATGTACTTGTAGAAATAAAGAATATTATTATTAATTTGAAATGAAGATCCTCGATCACTATTTTTCAGTCTCTCGTCTAATAAAAGATTAGAAAAAGGAGGTCATATATTTGACAAGTTCTAATATATGTAACTGAATTAGGAATACATCTGTTCACATTGCATATACCTTCATGGCCTGATTTCAGAAAGCAAAGTAGCGCAATTATTACATAGGTAGCCCTAATGTTTGTTGAATTATCCCAAAATATCGTTAGTAGCGCAGCCCAATATATAGTAGCGAATGTCCAACAATCCAGAGGATGAATAAAGGGTGCATAATGAAGATATTAAAGTCAGGGGCTTATATTCTGGGTGTGCTAGGTGAGCGCCGCACACCCACCAAAGATGGTAAACTACGGGTTTGGCGCTTCCCCTTGATTATAATAATAATAATCTTATAACACAAATAACCCGCACATAGGAGAGAGGAGCCCACGATGACTCTTCGGTCCGAAGTGTAGTCGTGGGCTCTTCTCTCCTATGTGCGGGTTGTTTGCGTATTGTTCCAGTCACAGTATTGAGCTTTTTTTGTTCTCTCTCTCCTATGTCCAACAAAAGTAGCGCAATTCACTACATGTAGCATAATCTGGCAACACTGCTGTGGTGTACTGGTGATGGGAATAAGGGTTGTCACGGCTCACCGCTCAATCAAACAATTCACATTTTAAGTTTCGGGTGTGTCTATATAACAAGAATTTTACAATTGTCCTAAGGACATGAGTTGCTAAGTGAACTTAACATTGTCCATTATGGATTATTATTATTTTATATGAAATGCTAAACCCATGCACGTCATTCAGCGCAAGGAATGGCGGAGGCTCGATTCTCCGTTCAATAATCTTCCAGCCAACTTGGCTAGATAAGGAGAAAGTGCATATTATATAGATTTAACCTATGATGACCCAATACAGCATTGGTTCTTGATTTTTTTAGGCATTCTTAACCCCTTGAGTTAGCCAATAATCCCGTAATTATCCCTCCCCTTTTCAAATAAATATAGTTTACCTGGAGAGGGTTTCGGGGGTCAACGCCCCCGCGGCCTGGTTTGAGACCAGGCCTCGTGGTGGATCAGGGTCTGATCAACCAGGCTGTTACTGCTGGCCGTACGTAAAGCGACGTACGAACCACAGCCTGGCTGATCAGGTTCTGACTTTAGGTGTCTGTCTAGCTCCTTCTTGAAGACAGCCAGGGGTCTATTGGTACTGTCAATGGCACAAGAACTTTGAATAGTTTTCAATATAGGTTGGATGGGTACATACGTGAGTGTGGGTGGATGTAAATTGGACCTGCCTAGCATGGCCAGTTGGCCTGCTGCAGTATTCTTTATTCTTATCTTCTTATACAGTAGTCCGTTTACATAGCATACCTGGAGTTTACCTGGAGAGAGTTCCGGGGGTCAACGCCCCCGCGGCCCGGTCTATGACCAGGCCTCCTGGTGGATCAGAGCCTGATCAACCAGGCTGTTACTGCTGGCTGCACGCAAACCAACGTACGAGCCACAGCCCGGCTGGTCAGGAACCGACTTTAGGTGTTTGTCCAGTGCCAGCTTGAAGACTGCCAGGGGTCTGTTGGTAATCCCCCTTATGTATGCTGGGAGGCAGTTGAACAGTCTCGGGCCCCTGACACTTATTGTATGGTCTCTTAACGTGCTAGTGACACCCCTGCTTTTCATTGGGGGGATGTTGCATCGTCTGCCAAGTCTTTTACTTTCGTAATGAGTGATTTTCGTGTGCAAATTCGGCACTAGTCCCTCTAGGATTTTCCAGGTGTATATAATCATGCATATTTCACATATCTTATCAGTAATTACGTATACAGTAATCTCATTTCCTGTAGAGCTGCTCTGACGTATAACTAAATGGTTGGATGTTTGGACATTATTATTATTATTATTATTATTATTATTATTATTATTATTATAATCACAGGGAAGCGCTAAACCCGTAGGGTTATACAGCGCATGTGGGGGGGGAGGATGGAAGGTATTCAGGCTCAATTCAGGGAACTGGAGCACAGATCCAATTCCCTAGATCAAGAGCCCCTCACCAGCATCAATTAACCGCCCTTGAGGGGGGGATGTTTGGACAGTCCAAGATATTGTGTCCTATATGGTTTATGGTAATGTCTCTATCCACTTTACTTTTCATGTAATTAAAATCTCGAACCAAATTGAAATGACAAGAGACGTATATCTTGCCACTGATCTTAATTATTTTCTTTATACTCACGATTTACTCGAGTCATTTTAATATTATGAACAATGGATCTGCTAGTTCCCATCTGCTTTCCACTTTCAAGTTTATTTTTAGATTTATTTGACTACCTCTTAAGAATGCATTCGATATTCTATTAATGATAGTTTAGCCAGGGCATCGACTTCATTATTCTCCTGGACTCTCATGTGAGAGGTTACCCCTCCCTTAATTTGACATTAATTCGTTTGTCAATAACTCGTGCGTATCAGTGTCTCGTCGTTTCATGCACAAACATGTTACTTTCTGATCACAGGCTCTATAGAGCAAGAAATGAGAATAGAGATAATTAAACTGTCCGAAGTTGTAACTTACGCTAGCTTGACAACAGTAAGTATGACCAATATTATTACCTGGAGTTTACCTGGAGAGAGTTCCGGGGGTCAACGCCCCCGCGGCCCGGTCTGTGACCAGGCCTACTGGTGGATCAGAGCCTGATCAACCAGGCTGTTACTGCTGGCTGCACGCAAACCAACGTACGAGCCACAGCCCGGCTGGTCAGGAACCGACTTTAGGGGCTTGTCCAGTGCTAGCTTGAAGCGCTAAACCCGTAGGATTATACAGCGCCTGGGGAGGGGATGTGGAAGGCATTCAGGCTTAATTCGGGGAACTGGAGCACAGATCCAATTCCCTAAATTAAGAGCCCCTCGCCAACATCAAGGAACCTTCCCTGAGGGGAGTTCAGTCTGAAACATGGATGCCCCGATAGTAATACCAATAATTCTCTGTTGTTGTGAAAGAACATTTATTCCAGATTAATATCCTTGAAGAATTAGTAAGCCAAAATTAGCCATGAAAACCTAGCAGTGTAATTTATTTGCAATAAGGTCCTATTTTTTACAGGTTCGCCTCAGAATACAACACGCTACATATAGTACTAACTCTCAATTATGAATTTGTTGCTAGGTAACATGGGCAGTAGGTGTCAGGTGATTTACTTTTGGCTCAAGTGGCAGCGCATTCATTTCGCATCTGAAGGGCCCAGAGTTTGATCCCAACACCAGAAGAAACGTTAGACATATTTCCTTGAACTTGTTTTCCCTGTTCACTTGGCGGTAATTAGGTACCTGGGTGTTAGTCGTATGCTGTGGGTCGCATTCTGGGGAAGAGGAGCGAATGACTTAGATGGAAAAATCCAGGCACAGTGGCTTCATTAGCTTTTCCTGGGTCATTAACCCTCAGAGTTAATATTACACATAATATCTTCTACGTCCTGCCTCGCCCAGAGTTCGATCCCTGTTCCTTTTTATTGTGACTCCGAAAATGCAACCATTACACTAGTTTACGATGATGGCTCATTACACAGTATGACCTTTATAATAATAATAATAATAAATAATAATAATAATATCTTTATTTCTACAAGTACGTACATGTACAAGATGTACTAGAGGCATAGCTGACATCAATGACAATCTACTACAGTACGTAGGAAACCCCTTGTTATGTAGAGCTTTTGGGGCAAATTAGGTCAATTTTTGTTCTAGGATGCGACCCACACCAGTCCAGTAACACTCAGGTACCCATTTTACTGATGGGTTAACAAAGACAGCAGGTATCTTGAGGAAACACGTCCTAACGTTTCCGCCTGTTCCGGGGAACTGATCCCCGGATCTCAGTATGTGAGTTGAATGCGCTGGCTATCAAGCTACTGGACACCGGATGCATGGGCCTCCTACAATATTGTTTTGGTCTGTAAGTCCGGAAAAATCACCTGATACTGAGCTTTGATAAGATAACTTCTTCAGTAGTGTTGTCGGTCTTATGGTGCATCACGTAAACACAACTTAAAATGCGGGTTAAGGCATTTTATTGTAAAGGAGATTCGTTCACCAGGGATTTAATAAATTCACTAGGTCCTGTTTATATACCGTGTCTTATTTATATACTTTTTGTCTTATTTGCATTGTCAGTACAATCTACTGCTGTATTACCATGGCTGGGCAAGGCAATCTACATGACCTTCTTCACGGCTACTACAACTAATCCATCAATTTGGGTAGGACCTACTTCCACTGGGGAATCCCGCCTACCAGTGACTATGCCCTCGTCTGCTACACGTCGCTATTCACTGATGTCTATATAAGCGCCAGTCTCTTTACCTGTGCTTCAGAATCTCTACAACCACGGTGC